AGCGGCCGAGGGGAAGGAGGTGAGGGTGGTGAAGAACTTGAGGATTTGTGGGAGCTGCCATGAGTTTTTCAAGTATGTGAGTAGGGTTCTGGAGAGGGAGATTATTGTGAGGGATGTCAATAGGTATCATAGGTTTGTTGATGGAGGGTGTAGCTGCAGAGATCATTGGTGAAATTTTTTAAGGTTTTGTGTTAGAATTTGATTGTTTGTAGGTCAAGAACTAAAATTCTTTAAATTATTTTATTAGCAGCTAGACTCTATGAACTACCTTTTTCACTCAATTGATTAAATTCTCCTCAGGGGATCTATTTGTTTCAATTAAAAAAAAATTTAAGTTAGACTCAAAGCAAAACTATACCATGTCAATGTAATGGGAGAAATTATGGCATCTGAAAGATTCAGGGATATTAGATGTATCTGCAATTAACAGCAGTTTGGTAGACTGTTCTATCATAACTGTAGTTAGCACAAGTATGTTTACAAATGAAAAAAAAAGTAAGGGAAAGGTGTTCATAAGGTGGTACTTTAGATTCAATCTGAGATAGCACATTCAAAACTATATTTATATACTATCAAATTACTCGATCCACTCCATTTTATTTTGATTTATATATTTTGGATTGTATACAAACAAAAAATTAGCCATATCGGGTTGCAGTTACTCTACATCAAGTAATTGTAAAATTAACGGTTTTACGACAATATAACAAAAGAGACAATGAAAGTTATGTGTTAGAAATATTTAATCATCATAATTTTTGTTTTATAGATGTTTTGAGACATTTAGATCACGATGAATAGAGCGGATCATCAACTGTCTAATTCATGAATAAAGAGGTGTTACCTTAGATTGAAGCTAACGTGCCACATTATGAACACTTTTCCCATAGAGTACCTGTATATTAGTCTGCTTAACATTACTCTTGATTTTTTTTAATGCTCTCTATAATTGTTTATCAAAAGGAGCAACCAAAATGCATAAACTATTTGACCCCTTACACTGCAATTTTGCATAGGCTTCTGAGTGCTGAGCAAGTTTGTTTCATGTGATAATAAAATAAAAATAAAAGCAATAGAAATAGTACAGGTTTATTAGTCCAATGGGGGTTTATATTGTACTAAGTACACAGCTCTGCTCTGCTAAGAGAGGGCAGGCCATATATCAACAATGATCAAGTCTTCTAATGTTAGCTATGACTCTAATTTTGTCACTTTGTTTGTCTCAAAACCACCCAGTTTGAGTCTTAAGCATATGCATAGGCATAAGTACCATCAAAATTACCTAAGCATATGTACAGGTTTATTATTAGACTTCACAAGTTTTTGTTCCACAAAGGGAGAAAAAAAGGCATAAATATTGAAAAAAAGTAAGTAATACCAAGAAAATAAGAATGTAATGGTTCAACGTTAACAGAATAGCTCCCTTTTTAAAAATTATATGTGCATGGTTTCCTCACTAACCAACTAGCTTACATACAGGGGTGAAAGATCCGAAAACTAGGTAAAGAAAATTCCTATAACAAATTGGATCAGCGTTAATACAGTAAAAAAAGAAAGAAAAAAAAAGCTAACAATGTTCAAAAAGCCTTAATAACCAAGTAATCAAAGCACATAGTTAGCCTAAACCATGCATTTAGCCTAATGAAAAGAATCCATTGAATCTCTCTGTACTTTCAGTGAGGCCATAATGGAGCACCAATTATTTTCTCTCTTCTTTCCTCTTTAAAGAATCTCTTGATGGATGACACTCACATAGCTGATGAAGAAAAATCCAAGAAAACCCTCTGTAATACATCCAATCAAACAGAGGAATAGCCATTCATTTCAAAACTTTCCAACCTTCTGTAATCATTCAAAGTATCACCAACCACCAACACTCAATAATCTGCACCACAATGAATGAACATATAAATAGAATCCTATGGATTTGTGAATAAAAACAAAAGTTTATCAGAATCACATTTTCTTAAAGACTTACCATCTTTCTTCTTCATGAGATTTCTAGCAAATAGAAGGCAGATGACTAGAAATCCAAAGGTTTTCCCTGTTTGTCCCCCTGTTTCCAACCAATTATCAGCATGAACTCAATTTTACATCGGAGGAAAAGGAGACAAAAACTCAAGCATGAACAATCAACAACAATGCTTAATTCCTCCACATGCACCATGATTGACCCCAAATAACGAAGTTAAAATGAACTCAATATTTTGGGAAAAGCAAGGCCATACCCATCTCAAAACGATCGAACAGTATCAAATCTATATGGGTTAATTCCTCAAACATACATCATATCACAATGAAACATGAAAACAAGCACAAAAATGCAAGCAATTGAATCAAAATCTCTAAAACTTCTGGTCCCTACATCGCTCAATCCAACCAAATGCATCAAAGTTTGACAAAAACACAAAACCCAGATGAAATTTGACCAAGAACAATGCCTAATACCTCCGTATGCATCATATAAACATAAACTGATGTGGAAAAAGGAATATATTCCCATATTATGCATTAACGGAACTCTAACTAAAAACTTCCAATGTACCAAATTTGATCAATAAGTCAATTAAAACAACGCACCTCCTATTCCTCCTCCTCCTCCACCAACCTCACCACCATCACGGGGCACTCCATTAGGATAATAGTTATAGCTAATATAACACTTATCCAGGTAAACCTGACCCGAGCTCGCTCCTCCACACTCCACCTCCGACTTCTGCACAGCTTGTTGCACACAGTCACTACAGTCTGAACCCGACAAGTCACCCTCACACTGAGCCATCGCGTACACTGACTGATAACTCGTCGCATAAAACCCATTGGCACTCGACATCCCACTCTGGAGGTTGGCAAATGCAGTATCTCTCTTCTGTTCGAATCCATCACCAGCACTGCCGGATCCACAAGTCTTGAAGAGCATTTGGGTGCCTGAGATTTGAGGAAATCCTGATACCTAGTCAAGGAACCAAATAATTCAATAAATGTACGAATAATGCGTGAAAAGTTCGGAATGCCCTTCTCTTTCAACTTTCTAGTTTCCTAGCATACAAGAAACAATATGTAAATGCAAATTAGTATGTTACTTATGAAATTGCCACATTCTGATATGATATGTGCTATATAAAGAATAAAATACCATCAAGGTCCTTATCAAACACAATAAACAAAACAAGAAAAATTGAAATTTTCACGCAACCCAAATATATTCATCAACAAAAGGTTAAGGCTAGCTAAAACCCCATTAAGGTCCCTTTCAATAAATAAACAAAATAATCAATCTAGCACTAACAAAAGGTTAATTAAAACTATATCAATTCCCCACTATCAATTTTAGGATTTAAAAAAAAAAAACTTCCCATGACCTCAGAAATCCCACAAAACAAATTAAACCTGAATTTTCGGAGAAACCCCCCTCTAAGGTCCCTTTCAATATGAGAAAACATAAAAAGCAGGAAACCACTATCAAAAGCAAAATCAAAACTTTACCGATGACCCACTACCAATTTCACCCAAAAAAAGAAAAAGAAAAGAAAACCCATGTCACCCAAACCCGAATCATTCCCTTTTTTTTTCCCTTCAAAAATCCGGTACCTGGTACAGAGCATAGCAGCCATTGAGCTGAACCCTAGCAGCAACAGCATTCCCACACAAAGACGACAGCATCGGCAGCAAATTCTGAACGCAAGCAGCGCAGTCTTTGTTGCTCAGATCGCCCCTGCACTGAAAAAGCCCAGAAATCGACTGACCCGCTGAGGAGGAGGAAGTGGTCTTGTAGAATTTGGAGCTGGCTGACTTGGCCGTCAGAGATGAGGAGAGCGTTGCTAGGGTTTGGGCGCTGCCGCCATTGCTGAAGCTCTGGCTCGCGCAGCCCTTGTAGACGAGGGTGAAGAGGTTGGCAGCTGAGATCGGGGTGAAGAGGAGAGAGAGGAGGAGGAGGAGGAGGATTGAGAGACCCATCTAGGGTTTCGATTTTGGCTTTGATTTTTGGTAGGATTTGGGGCTCTTTTTTTTTTCCGTGCGCCCAAGTTTTCGTTGATTTAGGGCTTCAAGTTCGAAGCTTTTGAGTGAGAGAGAGAGAGTGAGCGAGTGAGGAGGTTCAAATTTGATTTTTGAATTGTTTCTGGGGAAATTTGGGGGGTTTTTTTTTTGGTGGAATATGCGAACATTTTGATCGAGGAAAAGCAATGTCGTAGTCATAGAAAGGGTGAAAATCTCACGAGGTCTTGCTCAAAACCCCCCCTTTACTTTGCAAATTGCAAATAACCCATCTAAACTTGCCTCGCTTTTATGTGCTATCCTTTCGGAGTTTGGATCCTCTCCGCTACAAAAAAAGTAGTGGAGAGACCGCTATTTTTAATCTCAATGGTTGTGATTATGTAACGGTCCCTCAAATACCTTTTAGCTAGTGGAGAGGGTCCGAATCCGTCCTTTCGTACCCAAAAGTTTGTCAAATGTTAAGTTTCAAAAATTCCGGGTTTTTAAAAAAATCCAAACCTGTCGAAGATTTTGTGGAATATTAATACATAGTCTGGGATCTGTTACTTCCATGACTCCTCTCTAGATCGTAATTTTCTTTTTTGGCGTGTTGAGTTACTTTTTTTACATGTGTTTGTTTAATTTATTGGATGATGTATTCTTCCATTACCCATTCTTTAGTTATCAGGGGGCGAAAAAAACTTCAAAAATGCTATCATTGAAGATGACAAGGACAGGGCTCTACATATTTTATTCGAAAGAATAATATCTTGATTGTTTCATCAAAATTGGAATATTGTAATTAAAGCTTCTCAACAATTTATCGTCACTCTCTTAAAATATAATTCTTTAGAAAGTTTACCCGAGCAAGTTGTTGCTGAGGCCGAGGCTGAGCCTGAGCCCGGTCCCCTCCGTGCTCAGCCTCTCTTCCACCAGCCGCCGAGCGCGCTGCACGACGCGGCCCATAAATCCAGCTAGCCCCACGCAAGTCTCCGGCGACGCGCGCTTTGCTTGTGTCGGTGATGACGACGAGCATGTCGCCCTTCCTCCCCTCATTCCGATCAGTGGCAAGCCTGAAGAAGGATAGAGACAAATGTGATAAGAATTATAAAATGCGCACTTGGATTAACTACAGCCCGATACCCTGGGGTATGATATGATGTTATATAATAAGAACATCATCGTACCTCAGGGTATCGCGTCGTAATTAATCTTGTATGCGGGTATGAATATTTTGTGTTCGTATCTGCAATTCTGTATTCCGTTGGAAATAGACGATGATATATTTGCCTATATCTGTATTCGCCTTGTATGCTCATATGCTCGAGTTGGAATTAAAACATTATGTAGTCAAAACTAATTGACGCACGCTAAAAAATAAATATCTTAATATAGATCAATTCAGAGCTTTGTCGATTAAAAAGGACCCTTAACCTACGCAGACATCTGAGAGTCTCAATTACTTACAAAGCTGACTCTAGCGTACACCCCATCAATAACTTCAAAGTTTTGATAAAATGAAATCGATTTTAAGTACCTAGCACGGGGGAGGATGAGGCTGAGCTCCCCTTAGCGGCGACGGTGCCGTCGGCGGCCGGGGTCAATGTAGAAGCAGTGATGGAGGCCATTGCTGCGGGAGGAGGAGGAAGAGTTCGGTGAATCTTCAAGTATTAATTTCATTTGAGCTTATTAATATTTGAACTGTGGCTGAGATTTCGTCACCAATGGATTCAGAGAGACTGGACTCCTCTCATGCCTCATCCTCTTCTCACCAGCTGGATTTTTCCACGTGTGCAAACCTTCCACGTCAGCACCAAGGCGGTGAGATGACAGGAATATTCTCCTTTTTTTTTAGAGGGAAAACAAATAGCCAGAATTATTGAATATTGAGATATTAGTGCAAGCGACGAAATCATACTACAGCCGAATATTTTTTTAATATTCATTCTGAATTCGACCGTTGGCAATGCTCTTGCAGCACAGAGAATGATAATGATATTAATGATAAAAAGGGTTGTTCTACAGGGACCCAAATCCATGGGACCAGGAGGGGACATGTGAGCTGTCACCTCCTGGTTGCATGGTCTACTGTTCATGAATAGTAGATCATGCAACCAAGAGGTGACAGCATCTAGAATATTTTCCAAGACCATATATACAACTATAAAACATTTATTATTATTATTATTATTATTTTTTTTTTTAACTCTTTCATCCTTGGTGATTTTTTTTTTTCTACTTTAACGGGCTTTCTAAGTGACCATTTAACGAGTTTTGGGCCAATGGATCCCAACCCAAATGGGCTTAGGTCATTAAGTATGAAAATACTCCTTGGGCTTAATTACTCGGTCAGCTGTATTAATTTCATTTGAGCTTATTAATATTTGAACTGTGGCTGAGATTTCGTCACCAATGGATTCAGAGAGACTGGACTCCTCTCATGCCTCATCCTCTTCTCACCAGCTGGATTTTTCCACGTGTGCAAACCTTCCACGTCAGCACCAAGGCGGTGAGATGACAGGAATATTCTCCTTTTTTTTTAGAGGGAAAACAAATAGCCAGAATTATTGAATATTGAGATATTAGTGCAAGCGACGAAATCATACTACAGCCGAATATTTTTTTAATATTCATTCTGAATTCGACCGTTGGCAATGCTCTTGCAGCACAGAGAATGATAATGATATTAATGATAAAAAGGGTTGTTCTACAGGGACCCAAATCCATGGGACCAGGAGGGGACATGTGAGCTGTCACCTCCTGGTTGCATGGTCTACTGTTCATGAATAGTAGATCATGCAACCAAGAGGTGACAGCTCATCTGTTCCCTCCTGATCCCATGGATTTGGGGTCCCCATGGAATTTTTCTGATAAAAAGTACCCTTTTATATATATATGACAAAAAAATAAATAAAGAAAGAAAAAGATTAAGACAGAAGGGTTAGACAATTAATATATGTGAGTACATTTACTGTAACTCAAGAGAGGAGACACTCGAATGTGTGGAGTTCTCTTCCTAAACAATATTTGTATATGTTTTTTTAATTATTTACTTTTTTTGGGGGAGAAGAAAACCAAAATATTACACATGTGATGATGACAAGCGGGTAACAAGTTGCTCCGCTAATCCTTTCAGAATTGCAAAACCCAACCTACGAAACACATACTCAGCTGACCCTGTTGTCACCACATTCCTATTCATGAGTTTCATGCCATTTGGTAATAAGATTCTAAACTTATCAAAATAATTATGATTATATATACTACTATATAAAAGACAAAGTGGTGGCAGTCTAAAATATGTCTGGAACATTGTTCTAATTTGTACTAATTAGGAGGGCAAAAAAGTAGCTCAACAAGGGCTAACTTTCTCTTTCTTTTTCTTTCTTCGTGTTTTCTAGAATGTCCCTTATCGTACAAATATTTCTCCTTTTTTAAAGTTTTATAGAATATTCCATGTTATACAATACATGAACATAGTATTTGGGCCAATATAATTATACATCCACTGTATTTCAGGTTCTAAATGGAATACAAATGAGAATTATAAATATCTTTCAAGAAAAATAGAAACGCATGCAAGAAAAAAAAGTCAAATAATATCAAGGTGTAAGATACAACTTTTATTTTTATAAGTTTTGTACATTATACACATGCATCTTATTCTACAATAAAAAAAATAAATTTGACACAAACAATATTAATAGACGATAAAAACCTTATCTTCCGTTGTATGATAAGAGGATAGTTTCTTCTGATTTTAAAACCTCACATCATAATCGAATCTAATAATATGTATGTTTGACATAGAAATTTACTCTATATAGTTTTGCGTCTCTTATATGTGCATGTGCACAACGCTACTAAATTGAATTATCCAATAGAAAGGACACTATCAAACAAGGACACTATCAAACACTACCCAACATATTTATGGATCATCATGAATTACATCGATATTCATTGTCAGAAAAGAGTCTTCTTAAAAAAAAACCTTATGTCTTTTGTATCCTAGTCAATTTACCTTTTCCCACTTTTTATGAAACTCTTATTTCAGAGAAAAGGCAGCACTATACTTACAAGTTATTATTATCATTAGTATATTATTATTATTAGAGATTAATGGGTATCCTTATCATAGGAGGGGATTTCCTCCTTGACGCCTCTAAAATCACATGATTGAGCGACATTATGGATGATCCGTTCCGTTGAACTTGATCTACATATTCTAAAACCCAAACACACCAAGTTTGGGGTGAATCGGTCGTCGTTTGACCCTACATCGAGCCATGTGAAAAGTTCTATTCATTCATAACCGTTAAAATTGATACGAGTGGATGAAGGGTCAAACGACGACGGGTTCACCCCAAACTTGGTGTGTTGGGGTTTTAGAATATGTAGATCAAGTTCAACGGAGCGGATAATCCATAATATCACTTAATCATATAATTTTAGAGGCGTCATAGGAGGAAATCCCCTCCTATCACAAGGATACCCATTAATCTCTTATTTATTATTGCTATTATATATATACATATATACATATTTTTTTTGGATTTTCGAGTGTGTCTAAGTCGGTCCCAATATTATTTATTTGTCAGTTGGGCCCCCAAAAAAAGCCCAAACCGTAGCCATTGGCACGTGAACGGCCCGTGACAGCCATAAAACAAAATCTCGGAGCCCTAGTTCCTCTCTCAAAAACCTTCAAACAAAAATTCTCTCTTTGCTTCATTTCTCTGCGTCGTCGTCCTCCTCCTCATCTTCTTCGATTTCAGGTTCAATTACTTAAACCCTTTCGTCGATGCAGAACCTCAACACCAAACTTAGGGTTTTAGAATTTCTCTTTGTTGTAAACTTTGTGTTGATCTACGTTTCTAATTGAAGGTTGCTTATGACCAACTTAGGGTTTTAGTACTGCGCTAAAGATTGAAGCTTGTCTACAACCACTTTATTTGTTTAAATTTTTTTTTACTATGAACTGGTTAGGGTTTGGAGGGTGTTTTCAATTTTGCTCGTAACCAATTTTTATAATCTCTTTGATGTTTGTTGCTTAAATCCTTTTGTCGTCGTAAGGCCTGTATACAAATTTAGGATTTTAGGGTTATAGTCCTGTTGAATCCGTTTGATTTATTCGTTTGATTTTAGGGTTCGTTTAATATTAATTCTATATTGCTATCAATTGGATGACAGCTGACATCTCTGGAATAGGAATCTGTTTACTTCCTGTGGTATTTTCTAGTGTAAGTCTAGGATGTGGGTAGTAGAGTAGATACAGGTATTTTGCTGCATTAGAGTTTCATTTTATACCCAAAGGCAATAATACTTATCTGTTGCAGATTTTCCTTGTTGGGCATTGAATTAGTATGGAAGGTAGTCAACCAGTGGCTACAGAATCTGTGACTGCTACAATCCCTGCCAAGGAAATTGTAAGGGCTACTGTCCCTGAATCAGGTGGTGAAGAAGCCACCCATGCATGCTCTGCGGGTGTGGCTTATGCTTCGGCTGATGGTTCTAAGCTTGCCGATGGGAATGTGCAGAATCAGGATGTAAATTTAGGCACTCAGGATGCTGCACATTCTGTTACTTATGGATCTAAACCTGAGGTTGAGGGTGTTGCAGCTGGTGCGAATGTTGCAAACTATGAAAATTCAACAGGCATGCATGCTCATCAAGTTGGGTATGACTTAGTGAATGGTAATACTTGCGATATGGGTAATTATCAGTCCTCAGGAGGCACTGAGAATGGAGTTCCATCTACTGAAGTGGGTGAACCTGCTGCTGAGAAGCATTCTGAAAATGGTAATACGGGTTTTCTCTGAAATCATATGCAAAGCTGTACTAATATTATATTTGTTAGAATTTCAAATTCCTATATGTTTTCCTTTCATTTTATTCTCTGAAGATCTCTGGCGCTTATCTCTTTGAGTCTGAAGATTATTCAGAAGATCATCATCTGAATTTGTTTCCTGTTTCAGTATTAATTTTTAAATGTTTTCGTTTCATGTGACAGTGAACTCACCTGAAGAGGATAGATTATGGAGCTTGGTAGGGGCTAACTCTTTAGATTTTAATGCTTGGACAGCCCTCATCGAAGAGACAGAGAAAGTCTCGGAGGTATAATATGGGTACATTATTGTATATTTACAGCTTTGTTAAATGACATCGTTATAATCTGTTATTAGTAAAGTGTGCATGCCCACTGTAATCCCTTTCTTCTTTTTTGGAAAATATCATAATCGTTTTCTAACTTGACTAATATCTTCTGATATGCTTTTCGTAAATCAAAAGTTTATTTCCATCCATAATGTGGACAGTATTCATTACATCTTTTCATATGTCTATGTAATATAATAATATATTTCTCTGATGTACTGACAGATTCAGTTTTTGCCCCTTTTTTCTCTTCTTAGTATAGTTCTATGTTTCTGAATATGCATTTCAGAGTTCATTGCAAACTGATAATGCTTTGTCTCCTTTCCCAGAACAACATTCTAAAGATTCGGAAAGTTTATGATGCATTCTTGGCCGAATTTCCATTATGTTTTGGTTACTGGAAGAAGTATGCAGATCATGAAGGTCGTTTGGACAGTGTCGACAAGGTCGTGGAAGTGTATGAACGAGCAGTCCATGCAGTGACCTATTCTGTGGACATTTGGTTGCATTACTGTGTGTTTGCAATATCAACATATGAAGATCCAGATACCATTAGAAGGTAACGATCCATTCAACATGCATTGGTTTGTAGGTATACTTATTGGCGTTCTCATTTAGCGACAGTCCAATCACAATTCTTGTATACCGTTCTAACTATATTTTGCTGCAACAGTGCTACTGACATGTCTGGAGGAAAGGTTTGCTGGGACACACTAGAAATTCCTTTTCTAATGTGTGAACCCTTGTTTTTGGTCTTTTTTATTTAATCCCTCTTGATTCTTTAGAGTTTAATCGTGCTGTGGCTTCTTCGTATCCCTTTCCTTCTGCTTCCTCAAAAGGTTATATAGTAATCTTGTAGTTCATGAGTGACTGCTACTTAAACTGTTACACTCTTGGGGCCACCTTGGGTGCACAAATATACAAATACTGCTGGGAGATCACTTGGTTTCTGGGCTATCATGGCCCTCTCCTCCATTCGAAGGGCATGGTATGATTGTATCAGGAAGGTAATTGTAGTGTGTTTGGAATGACATGCTGTTAGAGTGCAAGTTTTATCTTAGTTAAAACAATCACATCTATTTCATTAGGGAGTCAGATTGCCATTCTCGAGTCTTGAGGATTTACCTTTGTTTGTAAATTTTCTTGTTTCAGGCTATTTGAAAGGGGATTGGCGTTTGTTGGATCAGATTACTTATCATATCCTTTGTGGGATGAGTATATCAGATACGAAGAGGCACACCAAGCATGGGTTCATCTTGCAATGATCTACACTCGGATACTTGAGAATCCTATTCAACAGCTAGACCGATATTTCAACTGGTAATAACTCGTCTTATAGTTGCTCATGTGTTTTCTAATTGTGATTCCTTATCATATGTGTCCACCAATTATTGAAAACTTGTGTTTACTGCTATCTATGTGCGTCATCACCTATTATATTACATATTCTTTTGATGCAATTACACTGGAAAACAATGTACCTGATTGTTTTCGTTGCAGGTCCAATATAATGCTTGAGCTTGAACTGCAAGTCTGAATGACTAGTTTACTACTTTTTGTGTGAGATATAGTGGTTAAAGTACATACAGAAGTACTGGTTATTGTAGTATCAGTTTGTATGTTTTTTTTTCTATTTTCACTATTTTGTGCATACATTGCTTAAAACTTCATTGTTGCTCTGGCTTCACATTGTTTCATACTGTTCCTAAGTTTTGATGCTCATTTTTCTGCTTTTTGGTGTACAGCTTGAAGGAGTTGGCTACTAGCCGACCTTTATCTGAAATAAGATCTGATGAGGAAGCTAATTATATGGCTGCTACTATGAACATTGACGCCCCATGCGTCGAGGGAGAACTTCGTCCTGATGATGTCGAACAATCTCCTAAGCCTGCAATTGCAGGCTTAACAGAAGCAGAGCAGTTGGAAAAGTATATTGCAATCAGGGAAGATTTATATAAGAAAGCTAAAGAGTTCGAATCTAAGATCATTGGTTTTGAAACAGCTATTAGAAGGCCTTATTTCCATGTCAGGCCTCTTGATGAACCAGAGCTTGAGAATTGGCACAACTATCTGGATTTTATTGAAAAAGAAGAGGACATAAATAAGGTATGTTCTATTTCTTTCAAAACCTGATTTGGATGCTTCAAAATTGTTGATATAATTTCAATTCTGCTTTAAATTGGTTATGAACTTACAGTTGAAGTCATATTGGCTGCATTTATATGCTTTAGTGGCTAGTGTTCGATGAAGCTACCTTATAAGTGGGAATAGTGAACTGAGGATAAAGCATGGGCTTATTGTTTGGTTTCTATGAGGCTAAGTACTTCAAACCCTCGTTGTCACTGGACGTTCTGGGTTCATGATCTATATTGCAAAGTAGATATATATTTTTTTGAAATTCGAATCTCATACATGCAGGTGTTTGCTTATTGTGCTTATCCACTTAATCATCTGTCTATCAGAGAAGGAGGGTCCCTCCTCCATTTTGAGGGGCCTCCTTGATCAGCTAATGAAGTACTCCTTGTGCACTTCTTTGTTGACATGTTGAAGTTTGAGTGAATTTTATTTCTTTTATTCCTATCCTTCCGTTTTGATGATCAACATCTAACATGTTTTTTCAGGTAGTCAAGTTATACGAAAGATGTCTAATTGCTTGTGCGAATTACCCCGAGTTTTGGTTCCGCTATGTGTTGTACATGGACGCGTCTGGAAGCATGGAACTTGCATATAATGCTCTAGCTCGGGCTACCCATGTTTTTGTGAAGGTATTCCCTACTTTTGAAGTTTAGTGATTCATTTGTAAATCATTTTTGGCCTAACAGCTTTAAAGAAGGATTATAGAGTGATTAAGATTGCAACACATTACAAGATATACTTATTGGTGTCCCCTTCTTGTAAGTGGGTGATCTCGGAATATGATCGTTTAAAATGACCTTATGAATTTATACATCTGTTTGTACTAGTTTTTGCTCTATTAATCTGTATTGCTTAGATACAGATTTTTGAGGTATTCCATCATCACTTAACCTTTTAACAATTATGTTTTCTTTTTAAAGTTATTGTGTCTGTATGTTGTTTTGCACCTTAATAGTTATCTTGTCCGATTTTATCATGTATTAGTAGTTATATCTTACTGTGATGGAATATTTATTGTAGTATTTTTCTACTTTATGTTAAGAATGTTAAGAGTAGAAAGTGAGTTTGGTGGTGCTTGCTTGACGCCACTAATTGATCTGAGGCTAATATTTGATATCCACCTTGGATTACCAGGACTTGTATTTTTCTTGCGCCTGTAAGAAGTTTGTTGTGTATAGGATTATGAAAAGATTAACTAGTGTTTTATTAAAATGGGATCATAATATTGCCTCCCAGTTCTATTCTCTTCCATGATATCCACCTTAGATCGTCAGGTTTTGCGGTAAAAGATTAAGTAATATTTTGTATAAAATGGGATCATAATATTGCCTCCCAGTTCTATTGTTTCCCATTTCTGTTTTCTTTCATGTCATTTACCTGTCAATTTGTCTTGCTTTTAACAGAAACAACCAGAGATTCACCTTTTTGCTGCTAAATTCAAAGAACTGTGTGGAGATATCGAGGGAGCTCGTGCAGAGTTTGAGTTTCTTTATTCTGAAATATCACCATGTTTGCTGGAAGCCATTATAAAGCATGCAAACATGGAATATCGACAGGTAGCCTCTGGATGACCTTCATTTTGCTAGTGGGTATTATATGTTATATGAGAGGGTCCTCTCGTATACAATGATGTGGCTGAATCTTAGCCAAGTGTGGTTATGTGGGATTCTCTTTCCCCCTTTTTCACTTGGCTTAGGTACAGTCAGTCAGTCACGTCCCCTGATATGAGAGAATCCCCTCATATGACAAGGATACCCATTGTGAGTGGGTGTGTGATGATTATGAGGTGGTGGCTCATTTTGTAAAAGGGTTATTTGCATATATACCCCTTAAATCATGGGTGTTTTTGCAAAGATAACCTCCAAATCTTAGTATTTGCAAAACTATCTCTTAAATCATCAATTTTGGAAAAAATTAGCTTCAAAGCAATCAATCATCAACTTTGATAAGCTAATTTGTGGTCGCAATGTAAAAATTACGACAAAATAGTCAAATTTTTAGCACGAAGTTGACGATTTGTTGATTTTAGGGGTGTTGTTTCACCAAGTTGATGATTTGAGTGGTAGTTTTTGCAAATACTAAGATTTGGGGAGTATTTCTGCAAATACCCATGATTTAAGGGGTATATTTGCAAATAACCCTTTGTAAAATGAGTTAACAAGAGATAAAGGCTGGCTAAAATGAATTAACAAGAGATAAAGGGTGGTAAGAACCACCGAACGTGACTAATAGGGCGTGCCTTACCATGTGACTATCTCTTGGACCCTTGGTAGTTCATTTAAAAACATGAGCCGCCACCTCATATACGTGATGCCGTTATCATAATATATATACATACACATATATACATATGTTGTAATTAGTATTTACAACTAAATTTGTTGCAATTTCTCAGGAAAACAAAGAAGCTGCTTACTCTGTATATGAGAAGATCATTGCTGCTGAAAAGGAAAAAGAGCATTCCAAAATATTGCCAATGCTCCTAGTTCAGTATTCACGCTTTCTCTATTTGGTAGGTCTTTTTCTTTTGTATTTTTACTGTTTGGAAAATCCCTATACATTATCTTTTCCACAAAGTTTCATGCGTGATGGTTTAATGAACATGTTTATTAGTTCGGTCATTTCAATGCTTAAGCTGATAGAAGTGTGTATATGCTTACATCTAATGCATCACATCATTCTGTAACCAAGCTTGAAAGGCATTTAGTTGCTGAGGTCTGTTGATAGTCTTTGAAGTTAAAGTGAAAAAATCTTTACCTGAGTATTTGTCATTTTTCTTTTCTTTTACCCATATTCTTGTCCAGCTTATCATAGATTCTTAATGTCCTTGTGACATCCTGATGTGAAAAATAATGATGTAAGCTTAGTTGCATGACGTTCTTAAAAGCAACGCAATATTGTGCCTTCAAGATGTTAGCATTCAGAATTATTTTATCTTTTTATTTTCACATATATCATTTTCCTTTTATTTCTGTAGTCTGTTGGACTTTGTAAACTTCTTAGGAATATAATGGTTAGTGTCCTTTCAGCTGTATTATTGCAGATTTACTCAATTTTGTTGGACATTGCTTAAAATTTCTAATTTTATCACTAAAAAAATTTTGACATCTATATCGCGTATTTTACGGGTCTAAGGTTGCTGGTAATCTGGAGAAGGCAAGGGAAGTTCTATTTGGATCTCTTGATAAAGTGCAGCTTTCGAAGCCTCTACTTGAGGTTCATTTCCTTCTTCCTTGGTTTTAATATTTTATTTTATTATTTGACAATCAGCTATTCTTAATTTGCATTCTGCGTTGTGCAGGCTGTCATCCATCTGGAAACAATTCAGCCCCAGACAAAGCGTATTGATTATTTGGATTCATTGGTGGAGAAGTTCATTTCACCTAATTCTGATAGTTTTGATGTTGCAAGCACTGCAGACAGAGAAGAAATATCTTGCATTTTCATGGAGGTAGTTCATCACAAATTCGCACTAATTTCATCAAATGTAGAAAATGATTAACAGTATTCATATTGATTAGAATTTTAGTCTACCAATCTATTAGTTTCATGTGGCTGATTATTGAAGCTTAAAAATATAACTTCTGGTTTCCTTTATCACTCATCAGCTGGAATAGCTAATATTCTCTGCCGCGGTGTCTCCTGAACATAATGGTACTCAGTGTCAAATGCCGTTCACATAGCATATCCATACTTTATATGTCATATCATCTTTCATTGACTATAGTTTTCCACATAGGTATTGCAGGGATAAGGCAGGAAATTTTTGTTAATTATAGAGCTTGCATAGTGCTGTTTAATATATTTTCAACCTTGAGAAGACACTGATTCATGATTTGGTTTACTATTTTGAGATTTCGTGTACAGTAAAATGAAAAAGTAATCAATATAAGGTAGTTATATGTCTTGTATGTGTTGCTTAGTTCTATGATTAACTTTAATGCTAATGTGTTAAGAAATACCTTCGTGGAAATCTATTGTTGCACTAATTTAGTTTTTTAATATATTGTACGCTAAGTTACTAACAAATACTTTTCATATGATATTGCAGTTTTTGGATCTATTTGGTGATCCTCAATCGATAAAAGCTGCTGACAGTCGACATGCTAAGCTCTTCTTACGCCAGAAAAGCAGTTTGGTGTCCAAAAAAAGACGAGCAGAAGATTTTCTTGCTGCAGACAGCGCAAAGGTCTCAAGGACTACTACTGATGCAGCTTCATCTGGCCAGTCCGTTGTGGGGGCATATCCAAATGCACAGAGTCAATGGACGGCCAGTTATTCACAAAGAGCTCCTTGGCCTCAGAACCCCCAAGCACAGGGACAACAGTGGAATCCTGGCTACGCTCCCCAGGTATGGTACTACGTTATTCTAATATCATGTTGGGTTTCTTTCAGAATGCACCTTCTTAAGGGAGAGAATGAATGTTGTCACTTGTCATGAAGCGTTAATGCTGCTGTTTTAATGTCCTTAGTTACACAGTCATGTAAAAGCTTTCCATCTTTTTCTAGTAAATGTGATTGTGCACGTGTGCTTGTTTGTGGTCTTTATATGTGGAGTTGGGGTGCGTTAGAGTGGAAATATGGAAGGGGGTTGGAAAGATATGAGGGGGGAACGCGCAGGCACTTGCAAATAGGGAACGGGCATTGTTGACATGCTTTAAAGAGGGAGAAGTGGTTGTTAGGTTGTCACCCTCTTTTTATTTTTTCCATTGTTTGTATTAGGCTAACACGCTAGGTGTTAATCTGACCTTCTTTTAGTCTTAAGAGGGCTCTATTGGATGGCCTCACGCAACGAGGGCAAAAACATGGTAATCACATTTGATTTCCTTTCCGTTTTCACCCTCTTTGACTGTCTTATACAATGCTACTAGGAGACTCATATTGTCTTTCAAAATTTAACCTGTTGCACAGTCTGACACAACATGACACTTGGACATCCACGCCTATTACGAGGACATTTCTTGTGTAATAATAAAAGGGAATAGAACAGTTCTAAAAGGAATGACCTCCAACAAACCTGAATTTGGCACGGGTATCCATCATGTCTGACCTTGAAAAACTTGTTAATTACGATTTAATTCAAAATTTGTATATAAGGTGAAGTACTAATTCTCTTATACATCATTTAACAATAATTAGATTCTTTGGTATATGAATATCGTGAACTGCTTATGTACATCTGAATTTTGGACATTTATGATATTCAAAAACGTGTCCATTTGTGTGCATGTCTAATATCATGGGTATATTTGTATCTAAAGAATTGAGGACTTATTAAAACTATGTGAATGCTTTTGTAGTGAAGAATAGGAAGAATTTGTACTAACAGTTATGTTACTTTCATAAGTATCAACATGTTACTTAGGCTTCACGGACTTTAATTGTTATCCTTTAAAAAATAAAAATAAACAAATGTAAAAATATTGTAATGAAAAAAATGGAAGATATGTTTTCTAGATTTGTATGAGTCATAAAGATAAATACAAGAAATATATTGAAGCATACTAAAGACAAAACATATTAATGCCATAAATTAAAGTCAAAAAGAGATAATTTCCTGCACTAAAGGTGATGGGGAGCGACACGAGGGCTTTTTCTGGAGGTGGGGAATCATTGACGATTTGGTGGAATGGGGTTAAAATCCACGACGAATAAGAAAGCCACCAAGATGAACAGTACGTGGGTACTGTTCACATTTTAATAGTAGTTTTTTTTTTGTTATGTGGAGGTGTTTTAACTGGTTGGATGGTGAGGATTCTTTTGGAGGGGAAATGAGTGGTGGATGATCGAGAAGGATAATTGAAAGATAATTTTAGTAGGTATTAGGCATCCCACGTAGGGGATTCACACTCAAGGGCTTCACACTCCAAAGACACTTCATATGTTAATAAGCAAATGATATTACAGAAGGCGCTAGGCGGATTAGGTGTGAGTCAGCGCCTAGACGCCTAGGCAGTGCCTAGACGTTTGACTATATTTAAAATTATTTAATTATAGTAATTGATAAAAATATGTATTAAATTCATATGAATTTGTAAAAAAAATGAAAGCAATCTTAGATCCACAATAAAACATACTTAAATACTAAATAGCCAAAATAATAATGATATAGAAAGCACTAGGAGGCCTAGGCGCTGGACCCAACGCATATAACCTAGGAGGCTTTCTTTTTTTTTAATTTTTTAATTACAATAATTGATAGTATATGTCAATGTTATATAAAGCTAAGGTGTTGGACTGGTGTCTAGCCAGATTTATATCTTCATTTAAGTGGTGGTCGATGAGGTTTTACTGAAGGTCGGAGAAAATAATGGAGGTTAAAGGAGTTTGAAGAAGGTTGGAGGACGTGGAGGCTGCAATACAGAAAATTACGATCAAGGACTAAAAGGTGCAGTCCACATAAGCAGACAATGCTCCCTAAACACTCCCAAAATCTAGGTAGGCAGTCCAGGTACCGCCTAGGCGCTAGTTGCTAGTTAGGTGACCTAGGTACCGTCTAGACCTAGGCGTACACCTAGGTGGATTAGGCGGAGGCTTTTTAAAACATTGAGCAAATCACATGCTCAAGATCAAATTTAATTTTTTTATTCATCAATATCTAGTCCTCATGGAGGATTACATCTCTTATAATCTTTTTTATTTAGTATTCTTTAGGATTTGATTTTGAAATCTCTTTCTATTTTAGCTAGGATTTTATCTGATTGTTAGGCTCTGATTTGATTAGAATTTTTATTTCCTTAAGTAGCGTACGCCTAGGTGGACTAGGCGTATGACTTTTTAAAACAGTGAGCAAATCACATGCTCAAGATCAAACTCAAATTTTTTATTCATCAATATCTAGTACTCATGGAGGATTACATCTCTTATTTATAGAAAAAGAAAACAACTAAATACTTAAGGAAGGAAATGAAAATTCTAATCAAATCAGAGCCTAACAATCAGATAAAATCCTAGCTAAAATAGAAAGAGATTTTAAAATCAAATCCTAAAGAATCCTAAATAAAAAAGATTATATAGAATCAAATGTAATATTAAAAATTAAAAATTTTCTAATAGATCTTAAAATCTTTTGATGGACGATCCATGATTGTCATGCATCAAATCTCCCTTGTTAGAGAAAACTCGACCTCATGTTTTATAATTGGAAGCGTGATGTTTGACTTGATTGATGAGAAATATTCTATTCTAGATTGCAAGATCTTCGAAATGAGCTGTAAAATTCGATATTGAGTGGTAAAGGGTTTGGAATAACGAACTCAATAACTAGATTATCTTGAAATTTGCACCGCATAACGATCTTCAGTTTGAATTCTAGGCTTGACTTGAGCTCTGGGTTTGATTGAAGCTCGAGCGTTAGATCGACTTGCTGCGTTGTTTTTGGTTCCAACTCTTATTTAAGCTTGGGCTTTAGGTCTATCGTTTGATTTGCTTCTTCCAACTGTAGTTCATGCTTGCATTCAGGATTGATTTTTTTATTTACATCTAATTCTGGCTCACGCTCAGATTCAGATTGATTTACATCTGATTCTGGCTCACGCTCAGATTCAAACTTTGGTTCTTGGTTAAAGTTTTGATCTTGCTATGCTTTCTCATCTAACTCAAGTTGAGGCTTCAAATTTGGTTTGAAATTAAATTATTTTTGAAGATTTACATCTGGCCGGGGTTGACGAATTTGTGTTTACTTTGCTTCAAAATTTGAAGAGAAACAATATCTTCTAGATGATCTAGAGTACCTTCTCTCCAAAAGAGCTTTCATAGTTGTCCATGAATGGATATTTGAATGATAATAGTTTCTATACCATTAATCTTTTAATATTTTGCCTCTCTTTAGTCTACACTTAGCATATAAATATATTTTCAGTTTTGACATATCATAGATAGAAAATATATCTTCTATATTGAAAATCCAAACAAAAGTTAAATTCATAAGGCTCCTCATATCAAATCCATAAAAGTAGGATGATGTACCAAATTTAAGTGGATTAAAATTATACCATTGTGAAGGAAGTAGCAGTATTTTACCCCTGATAACTATGGTTCATGATGGGGAGCGGTGTGAGGACTTCGATTTGGAGGCGAGGAATCGTCGATGACTTGACAGAATGGAGTTAAAATCCATGACAAAGAAGAAAGCTACCAAGATGAATAGTACGTGGGTACTGTTCACGGTTGCACAATAGCTTTCTTTTTTATGTGGAGGTGTTTTGACTGGTTGGATGATAGGGATTCTTTTCGAGAAGAAATGAGTGATCAAAAAGAATAATTGAAAGAGAATTTTAATAGGTACTAGGCATTACACTTAGGGGCCTCACACCTAAGGGCTTCGCATCCCGAAGGCAATTCACATGCTCAAGATCAACTTAATTTTTTTATTCATCAGTATCTATTCCTCATGGAGGATTACATCTCTTATTTATAGGAAAACAAAGCAACTAAACGTGCAAGTAAATAAAAATCCCAATCAAATCAAAACCTAACAAAACTAAAATCAAGTAAAATCCTAGCTAAAATAGAAAGAGGTTTTAAAATCAAATCCTAAAGAAATCCTAACTAAAAAAAAGATTACATGGAAGCAAATCAAATATTACTAAAATTAAATTTATTTTAATAGATCTAAAAATCTTTTGATGGACGATCTATATGATTATCCTGCATCAAAAGGTGACAAGGATTTATTAAGTTTTCATTACTCAGTCTTTGACTTGTTAAGCAATGTTTAAGGATTGTGGTATATGCTTCTAGCCAGCAGACCGAGTATCCAGCCGCATAGGCCTGGAAGAAACTTCAAGAGAAATAAACGCTTGATGATCAGAGAAGTAATAGATAAAAATAGAGCTTACCTGTATTGCTGTTACCGTTATCTTGGTCGCTCCTTCTGAGGCCTGATTTGCTATTACTAAGTCCCTAATCTTCACAACCACAGAGAGAGGCTTAGGGATTTATTCTTATCCTCATCACCTGAAGTAAGTTGTATCTCAGTTTAGGTAATAAGATGTCATGCCTTATATGGTGGTTTTTTCTTCCAGCAGTGGCCCTCTATTTTGTCACAGTTATTCTGGCCAGGAAGTAGGAATCAGTATCATCCTTGAAAATGTTGATGTCAGGTTGATTGCTGGTGGTAAAGAATTGTTCAATTTGCTTATTGAACTCTCTTTTGATGGAATGTGGCTTGTATATGCTGGTGATGAAATGATGCTTCATGATCATTTTCTTGAATATACCAGCTGGTCAATTTCTTAGGAGACTTGTTTAACTATTTTGATTTCTCATACATTGTTTGTGGAGTATTGCCAAATGCAATATTTGTTGTCACTATGAAGTTCACTTACACCTGTGTATATTTGTTGTCCAGGCTGCGTATACTGCATATGGGTATGCCCCACCGCAAGCACCCATGCCCTCTTCTGCTCCACAGACTGCTGCTGCATATGGTTCTTACCCTCCATCCTATGCTGCCCAGGTGCTTGCTTCCAACTTTCATGCATGGAAATTTATTTTTGTGTCCTTGGTGGATTTTAGCATATTAACTCCTTGTTAATTGAAGATAATGTGAGTACTTGCATTATGGTTTATTTCTCGATTGACCCTCTTCTTTTTTGGTAACTACGGCAGCAGACTGCTCTTCAGACACTGCAGTAACTTTTTTATTGCAAACTATGAAAACAAGTTCTCAGAAATCAGCTTTAATAAACTAAGTTAGTGTAGTTAGGATTTGGAGTAGCTCTAATGTGGAGGTTATAGTATTTTGATTTTTAGTTGAAAACTTGCATGCAGCCTTATCCATAGAAGGCAACTTCTAGATTTAGAAATTTTAGTTGGTTAGAATTCTATGAAACTTTCATACATTCCTACGTATAAAAGCAACAATTTATGGATTTAGAATTTCATTTTATTTAGAATTACAGCTTAGTTACAATTAAGAATTTTATTTCTATTATGTGTGTATGTGCCTGCATGCATATGAATTTGTGGTTTTTTCCCTCACAAACTGATGCCTCGCTCTTAATTGTGCCTCGTGGTCTCCACCTGAATTTTGTTGCATATATTTGTTCCTGCTGTCATTCTCAAATCTGATCCTCATCTTACCACTGAGTGCTGTTGTTGTACATCTCTGTTTCTATTTTCATATTTGTCGATCTTATTTTTCTGTAATATTCAATAGGGTATAGTACAAAGTATGACACAGGTTTTATCTGTATATATAGGCTTATCCACAACAAAATTATGCGCAGCCAGCAGCTGCAGCTACTACATATCCCCAGCAACAGGGCACTGCAGCAGCAGCATATTATGGCAGCTACTATTGAGGCAGGCAGCTAATTCATCTCAATTTTGGCTATTGGTTCTAGGTAAATTTACTCAATTGCTCGGAGAAGTTGTGTTGCCAAATGTTCGACTTTCAACAGCGTTAATTTTATAAAACCCCCTGAACTTTTGGGGATCTTGAAACTAATCCTTTGTTATACTATATTACAGGAAGTGTAGCTCGTCGCGCTAAAATTTCTCTGTTTTCTTCTTTATTATTAGCTTATCATTTTCTTCCCTTGTGCTTGATTCAGCAGGTTCTGGAAATGGTTTCACTCGTTTCCATGATCGCATCCAAATATTGTACTGCTTGCTGCTTCTATTGGTGCTCTACCATTTCACATGCTATGCATAGCAAGAAGTCGACCAAATCTTGTTACCGTTTCCCATGCTATACATAGCGAGGAGTCGATCAAATCTTGTGTTTTATTTATTACCGCTTCCTTCTTTCTGGTGGATGTAACAGATTTTGAGCGTTATGTAATGATATGAGTTTGAGATGTCTATTTTTTTTCATTTTCTTAAGAGATGAACGAATTTATTAGTAGGCCAATTGTGGACTTTGTTCTTGTTTCTTGTTTATATGAACGAGTACTTTTGTAAGGTTACGGGATGAATCTAGTAATTAGCTAGTCTCAGCTAATGTAGAATTTCAATGGGCGAGGATATGTATGTTAACTAAATAATTTTCAAGCCTTCACTGGTCTATGCTCTTTCAATCTTGAAACTATATATATTCCAACTATGGGAGAGGATTTTGGCGATGCTAAAATAAAGAAAGTAATTTGTTTTTCGGTTGTTTTGGTTCGTCGATTGTTTTAGAACGAACGCCATCGATCTAGAAATATGCATGCACAATATCTTGTTTGTTTGCGATGGATATTAAGGCGTATTGCACGAGGGATAAAATCTATTCAAATTTTATTTGGTTGTACTTGTATTTTGTTAAATATACGCAACAAGAATCACAAATTTTGGTAAAATTAGGATAATCTTAGGGAATCTCGTTTGATGTATTTATTCCAAGTCGCAATCTCAAATTTATGGCATGAAAAAGACGAACAAACAATGTATTTAATTAAGATCTAAGATTTTAAGCTTGTGAGGCTCATTTGCCAATGCACAACCACCAAAGGCAAGGAAACAAATAGCCTCTTATTGTTGTTCGGTGAACCGTTCAAAGCAAAGCAATAAGTGCATAATTTGAGGGAAGGGCACTAATGTTGGGACAATGAATGTTCATCTCCCATCTTCCCATTTTTTTTATAGATATTTTAGTATGCTAAATTATTTTCCTAATTACCTTTTACGCTTACATTAAGGGGCTGTTTGGTTGTTGTTGGTAAAGTTGTATATTTATGACACAACTTGAAAAGTTGCATGAACACAAATTTACCAATTTCTAGGAAATTTTCCAATTCAATTAAGAGTATTGATGTAATTATCTTATGCCCCCCCCCCCCCCCCCCATTGAAAAGTTGCATGAACACAAATTTACCAATTTCTAGGAAATTTTCCAATTCAATTAAGAGTATTGATGTAATTATCTTATGCCCCCCCCCCACCCCCATAAATACTCCAAGACTAACGGCTCTTTTAAGAAAAGAAGTAACTTGTTCTATCAAAAAGTACACGAGTACAAAATTTTAAAAATGTTATAACCTATCGAGAAGAAGAATTAATCAATTCATAATGTCATAGAAAAAGACACTCTGGTCCATGTACTTGAACCCCTTAACCACACCCTCTTTCTCATTTGTTACAGTGCACCGGGCCCTACATGAGATTTTAAAATTTTAAAATCTTATGTGGGGCCCGGTGTACTGTAGCAAATGAGAGAGAGGGTGTGGTTAAGGCTGTGGTTAGGGATGTGCCCTAGTGCCACCCAACTAGATATAAATTTGGTCCTTTTTTAACTCTCCGTTAAAAACTATGTTAAATATAAATTGAAAGGACAATACTGTCCTCACAATATTAAAATCTCCTAATTGTGCTTGGTTGCGAGCATATGCTTCCAAAAATGATAACTTTGTAGAGATATACTTGAGTGAAAACCGCAATGTTTGCTCACCTTGACTACTTGTTTGCCATATTATTTCCTTGTATGGATTTGTTCTCTGATTGTATCTAATGAGATACATAATCATCATATAATATCCAATTGTTTATATGCACATTAATTGGTGTATGAGTTTTTAAAACAAATACGTTTTTTAAATCAAATACTTAATAAATATTGGAATAAATTGTATGAACGTTTCTCTGCATGTGTAATGTACGATTGTATCGAATTGGGTACTATTTCTCACGGCCATTGTTCTTTCTTAGTCAAATAGACCTACAATTATGTACGATATGGTTTATGTTGGAATTGACCAAGGAAGGTAAGATGTATTTAGAGTTTAAAAATGGCTAAATTTTGGCCCACCTGAGATTTTTTAAAAAATCTCAGGTGGGCCCCCCTGCACTGTAGCAGGAGAGGGGGTGTAGTGGAGAGTGTGCCTGTAGTGTTATTTTTTTGGAAAACCCTCCTTGACATTAGGCTATTATCAAATAGCTTTCCATGGCTTTCAAAATATTAGAAAGTCCCCTTAAGTTTAGGGGTTATCAGAAAAATCCTCTCTAACTTTAAGATTTCATCAGAAAACTCCCTAAAAAAGTTAAAAAGGATTTTCTCATAACTCCTACCTAACTTCATGAATAGGGGTTTTTCCCAATATTTTGAAAGTTATGGAGGTGTTATCTAATAATCCTCCAAAGTTAAGCGGGGTTTCTGGAACTTAGTTTTAAAATGGTCAATAGATAATCAATGATTAATTGATTAATCGAATTATAAGCCAGAGTTTAAATTGAAAAGTAGGATAGAAAAGAGTTGAAGGCAAAAATCTATTTTCTATCTGATTTGTCATTGTAGTTTGTAAGCTAAGTTTGTTGTTTTAATGTTCCAATACATTAAAATTTTAATTTATTTCTAGATATATGGACAAACCGATGTTATTGTTGTTAACAAAGAAAATATTTTACGAGGGGAAAAAAAACAGATTACATACAAGTTAAAAAAGAAGGAGGTGATGATATAAATGAATAATAATGGAGGAATTTTATGAAAATATACTATTTATGTGGTTGGATTCCATAGATGAAAATTAAAATGTGTTTAATTAGTAGTAGATGAGTTTTAGTCCCACATTGACTAATTGAAAGCATTTTAGTTGGTTCAAATTAATATATGTGTTATATTTGGTATAACAAATGTGTTAGAGTTGTACATTTGTATTGGCATATAAGGGAGCATGCGAATGCGAGCGGGTACGTGCGAGCTGGCACGATCGTGCAATAACTGGTATTCAAAGTTTTGTCTAACCATTCAGCTCCGATGAACCCTATAAAAATGTCCTCTGTTCGTTTGAAGCACACATAAAACAAATTCTTCTATAAGCTGTTAGTACCTAAGATTCTAGCGAACTGAAGTTGTAGTCGAGGTGTTCAACAGAATAGAATGCTTCTTTGGAGTGCTGTCGCCTCATCGAAGTTGAAGTCTATTTGAAATGTTTTTAATAATACTTTGCTCTCGACCAAACCACCACCGGACCTAAAACGCACGTCGACCACACGTGTGAGGGTTCAATTTAATTTTCTTCCTATTTTCCAAAGGCCCCTTTCGCACGTTGCTCCATAAATCTGCCTGTATCTTCTCACTCACTCTCCTTCTGTTTTGCCCTAAAAATCCCATCTTTTTTCTAAAAAAGATCTCCTTTTTATTTAAAAAAATTTATTTTCTCTCCCTTCCGAGCAAAACCCACGTCCCTAAACCCTTCAAAAATTCGATTCCCGTCGAATCCCCGCTTTCTTTGTTTATTTTCTTCAATGCCCAGCTCGTGATTTCGGTAATAAAAAAATTCGGTAATAAAAACCCTGTTCAGTTTTACTTGAGTTAGTTACGCTTAAAATTAATATAAATTTTTTTTTATCTGTCGCAGTTGGATTAATTGGTGTTTATGGATTCTGGGCTAGTAGCGGTTGATGCTACCTCTGATGACGAGTTTGATGTCAGTGGTTGGCTTAACGGTAATAACTCTGTGGAGGAGAATTGCGATTCTTTGAGACCCGACGGTGATCCTTTGAAAGATGACGAGGACGATGATTGTGTGATTTTGGATGGCGATCCTGATAATTTGGTTGAGAGGGTTGATGATAGGGGGGATGGAGGAGGTGGGTCCGGTGATTTGCGCATTGTTGGGCAAAAGGGACAGGTATAATTCCTACATTGTCTATTTTTATATGTTTTCGTGCTAATTCTTGATGTTGCTTAATAAATTGCGCCCTAGAAATTCGAGCAGAGTCAGGAAGTTCCGAAATTGTTTCGGTTGCGTAGCTTCTTATTTGATCTTAATGTTGCTAATACATTGTCTAGATTACTTGGTTTGTAGACATTTTTATCTATTATATTTACTGCATAGGGCGCCACTAGAACCAGGCTAGGGCATCAGTAAGAAGGATAATGTTATTGTTGTGCGCAGCGGAAATTTCGGCAGCATCGGCGGTGCGCAAGGTGCACAACAAGAGATTAGATCGTAAGAATTCCTGTCTCACCAAGGAAACAAGAATCTGGAACGGATATCTCAACAAAGTGAGATATCGGCACTTCCTCTCATCAGTTCTAGGACTGACCTGTCGAGGGATCCTACAAGCTATTACAAATCACGGCAAAAAACACAACTTTTACGTGGTTCAGCAAATAGCCTACGTCCACGGGACAAGAAAGGGGGAGATCTACTATTAGAGGGAGAGATACAATTGGGGTTTACAATCACTCACAATCTAAACCCTCAAACAAACTCTCAAATCCCTCATAATATCTCTCTACAAAAGGATGCACAAAACCCTAAAAGGGACTGCTCAAAATCTCCTCAACACTTCTGCGTTTTTCTCCCGCAACCAAAAACAAAATCAGCTCTGCCGAAGAAACAGCCGCACAAACCAAGACTCCTCGCACGCCCTTGCTCTCTGCAGCAACAAATCTTTGTACAGCCCGCAACCCTAGGCACAGCCGCAAGAATCCTTTTCCCAGCCCTTGCACCAAACCCTAGGCTAATCAATAGGGTTTATATATAGCTGAGTTTCTATCAGGTCATGCGGTTTGTGGGCTCACGCGTAAATAGATCACATCAAAACCCGTGTCCTGCTGATTCTCTCACACAAACAGATTTGTGGTCCCCACTTGCTCTACACGAGATAGCCTTGCGCTCTCTTTTGTCCACTGGCTTTTGCTTTGCTCTTCACACATATGGTGCCCGTGGCCCCCACATCATAATTCTCCACCTCGGCGAAGTTTCTCAAAACTGAGCCGACATCAAAGCATCCAAATGTCCCAACTTGTTGTGTCCAGTACGAACTCAATTCACAACAAGTCGAGGACCTGAACGAGAGTTCAAACAATCTCACCTCCATCAACTAATTCAAACCGGCTGCATCTTAAAGACTGCCTATGTATCCTCTTGCCCAAGGAATCAAGCCGAACGTAGTTCACTCAAATGGCCTCCAAAGGCCTCAATTCACTAGAAGAGTTCGCAATCCTTCTCCAATATCACGATCAAGTCTACGGCTGATAGCACCTCCAATGGCCCCAAACTAAAATAATCCAAACATCTTCACCTGAGATGAACCAATGGCCATATCCAGACTATATCTATCAGCTGTACTTGAATCAATCAACCTATCATCTGCATCCAAATCAACACGATTCCCAATCTGTGTCACATCAGCTGGAATCTCAAATAATGCAGTATGATCTGGAGTTTCCACCCAACGTGGAGTAGCATCACTCTCCACCCGCTGTGATGTCCCAAAAATCTGATCATCACTCTCCACCTGCCGAGAGTCAAACATGACATATCTGCTCAGAACAAAGTCAGAAGCCAATACCTGATAATCAAACACGCCTCTGACTCCCAAATGTTCTATCGGATCAAATCTCACATCCACGATGTGACCAAGTGCTGGATAGCCAAACATCCGACGCAACCCAAAATCTGAAGCAGCTCCATCAGATCCAAAATCTCTATATGCAGCAGTCGGCAACCTATACATAAGATGGCTCAAACATGTCGTAGCCCGCACACCAATGCCAATGCTCGACATCAAACGCCGATCCTCCTCCAGAAAGGAACAACTCTCCAAATCTGCCATCTCATCACGTCGCCTCAAAGTTTTCACACCAATGAAGTGTCTCCAATTGCCCTGAGCTCGGCACAAGTGCAGATTTGGGTCCCTCTTGTACCTCCCTCTAACATCAGACTGAAGTATCTTCACCTTTCTGCCAATACACTTCCTCCATTTGTTACGGGCTTCTAGGACTTCACACCAACGGGATTTGGTTGCAACCCACCAATACCTAGAGCAATCCCCAACTGCGAAAACCACATACTTATTACCTACCAATAATGCTCACTTGGAAGGCTCCCGAATACCTGAATGAACACCCCTCAGAAGACCCCTCGAATGATGGATAAAAGTGTCAAACTCCACCTCGGTCTTCTCGCTCATACCAATGGGTTCACAGGATTTCAAACTGCAGGTCATAGCACTCCTCAACAACCTATGCACGGCATTACCAATCAAATAACCCAGTATCAAACAACGCCACAGTCTAGCTGAATCTGATGAAGTCGTCATCTCCCTATCAATCACCGTGCTTCCAAGCAAATAATACAAATTATTCCTTCTGACGCCCTTCATCACAATCATGGACCCCAATGTGACCTTCAAACGTGCATCCACCAAGGTCACTTTATAGCTAGATGTCATCAAAGCTCCTAGTGAAATGATGTTCTTCGACAACTGCGGAACGAACCTCACTTCATCCAACTCCTGAATCACTCCGTCATACATCCGAATACGAACGGTACCAATACCACCAATAGAGCATGCATGTCCATTACCCATGAGCACAACATCCTCTCTTTCCAACTTCTGAAAGCTGGAGAACCAATCCCTTCTAGGGCAAACATGGTATGAAGCACCCGAATCCAACATCCACTCTGTAGAATTGGCAACACAAACTGACGGTAGTGCAGACAACGAAAAACCCGAAGAATCCGAATCTGAATTGTTACCACTAGTCTTGACAAGATTCACCTCTGAAGCTTGTACAGCTTTCCCCTTATTCTTCTCGGCTCGATCTAACTTTGGGCATTCGGCTTTCCAATGTCCATCCTCTTTACAAAAGGCACACTGATTCCTACGAATCCCACGATGTGCACCTCTAGACCGCGACCTTCTGCTTCGGTTTGAACCACGGCCTTGAACTACTAATGCATCTCCCGATGTCTTCTCGGAGGACTCATCAACACTCTTCCTCAACTCATAATTCACCAACGCTGAGGTTACCTCCTTGTAACTAACAGTAGTTCTTTCATTAATCATAGTTAGGACAAAAGTACCATAATCATCATCGGGCAACGAACACAAAAGTAGCATCGCCTTGTCTTCATCCTCAACCATGATATCCACATTAGCCATGTCTGAAAGTAGCTTTGTGAAGTTATTAACATGCTCCCTAATGGAAACTCCTCTCTTCATCTTGAACTGGTAAAACCTCTTCTTCAAGTGAAGCCGATTCTCAATGCTCTTAGTAAGATACTTTTCATTAAGTGTTTTCCACATCTTCTTCGCCGACGTCTCGTTCATCACGTCATAAATAAGATCCGGCATCAAGTATGACCGAATAACTTCACACGTCCTACTATTCATCTTCTTCCAAACCTTAGCTTCCATCTCGGCAGGTTTCTCTTGTAACTCAAGAGTCTCCTCCAAATTCTGAGCGTCCAAGGCGTCCATCACCTGACACCTCCACAATCCGAAATTAATCTTGCCGTCGAACTTCGGAACATCAATCTTCATGTTATTGATGCTCAAATTATGTATCGTCTTCGTAAGAGACGATCCCGATGTGCTTGTTTCACCCATGTTGTCGATCTATTCTTCAAATAGGAATCTTTCAGCGAATCCTTCAAACAAGCTCCCAAGTCCAACCCGGAGCTCTGATACCACTTGTTGTGCGTAGCGAAAATTTCGACAGCACATCCGGTGCGCAAGGTGCACAACAAGTGATTAGATCGTAAGAATTCCTATCTCACCAAGGAAACAAGAATCTGAAGCGGATATCTCAACAAAGTGAGATATCGGCTCTTCCTCTCATCAGTTCTAGGACTGACCTGTCGAGGGATCCTACAAGCTATTACAAATCACGATAAAAACCATAACTTTTACGTGGTTCGGCAAATAGCCTGCGTCCACAGGACAAGGAGGGGAAGATCTACTATTAGAGGGAGAGATACAATTGGGGTTTACAATCACTCACAATCTAAACCCTCAAACAAACTCTCAAATCCCTCATAATATCTCTCTACAAAAGGATGCACAAAACCCTAAAAGGGACTGCTCAAAATCTCCTCAACACTTCTGCGTTTTTCTCCCGCAACCAAAAACAAAATCAGCTCTGCCGAAGAAACAACCGCACAAACCAAGACTCCTCACACGCCCTTGCTCTCTGCAGCAACAAATCTTTGTACAGCCCGCAACCCTAGGCACAGCCGCAAGAATCCTTTTCCCAGCCCTTGCACCAAACCCTAAGCTAATCAATAGGGTTTATATATAGTTGAGTTTCTATCAGGTCATGCGGTTTGTGGGCTCACGCGGAAATAGATCACATCAAAACCCGTGTCCTGCTGATTCTCTCACACAAACAGATTTGTGGTCCCCACTTGCTCTACACGAGATAGCCTTGCGCTCTCTTTTGTCCGCTGGCTTTTGCTTTGCTCTTCACACATGTGGTGCCCGTGGCCCCCACATCACAGTTATAAGATTATCAATGTAAATGCCATCATAATAAGTTATATGGGGATATCACTGAGATAAAATCCTGGATCTGCCATTGATCTTTGGGTTAACCGCAGATATATCCTTGTACGATAGGCGTTTCACTGCGTATTCAACTTAAATTTATTATTAGAACTTAAGGGTCTGTTTGGGTGATTTTGTGGAAGTTGAGGATTTATCACACGACATAGAAAGTGGCCATCCATGTTGTCACTTGTCCGATACTTTTCCCATGTTTGGTTAAATTCCATTGGATTTATGACACGATTTTCGCTTCCCTGCAAAATCGTCTCCTTTTGGAAGGGTTTTGATTTGAGGAGTTATGCACGACACCTCAGTATTTTCACGGTTTTTAACGATGCATCCAGACAGAGGAAAGTTGTGACAGTTAATTGTGGCCCTCGCACTTTGGTAGCTTTTCAAGTTTTCTCTTCAAAGTAAACGCAACTAAATAGTCATGGATGCCTTATGTTCATATGGAGTAATCTCCCCGTTTTCCATATCCGTCACGTGGTTTTTAGGTGACATCAATGTGTTACAAATATGTCACTTGATATTTTATTGTGTTGCAGTGAGACTTCCTATTCTTTTATAGGTGTTGAACAAACATCCCGTATAATAGAGGTACATGTACCCTAATAATAACTCCGTTTGACTTTGACCTCAAGAGGATCTAAATGCTAATAAAAGACTTAGGGATAGTAAATGGCAAATCTTTTATGGTACAAAGGGTGAATCTGCAATTAACATTTGTCCTTATCTAAATTATTGTTGTTTTTTGGCACTTTTACATTTATTGTGCTTATAATGTCTAACGGAGACTACAATATTATCGTAAGGGTTGCTGATATTAAAACTCTATTATGCATTGCACGGTATGTTTCGTGGTCATGTTAAATTTTATAAATAATCTAGCTGGCTAGATCTTACAACTTATGCCTATATGTGTGAGGCAAGCAAATATATGCTACTTTATGTGTAAGACGTAGCTCAATAATGCAAATAGTTTATAAACACTGTTTTAGGTGTAGATATTCATGGCGTAATCCTAATTGGAATTCTATCCTGGATTGTTTGGTAATTTGATTGGTATGGCAGTAATGTGCATTTGCCCGATTTATCTCCTTTTGTGTTCCTGTGCAATCTTTTCCACTTGCCCTCGTTGTTATCCTCCAACCATTTGTCATCACCATGAGAAGGATAATGTTTTCCTGCCTTATCCATTCTCGTTTCTGCTTTGCACTTCCTATGATATTCTCATACTTTTGTGTTGTTTCTAAATCTGATTTATACAAGTGAGGATCGTCCTAACAGCTTTAATCCTTGGCCATTGTACGTGAAAATGCCAAAAAAAGAAAAGGAAAATCCTCACTTGTTTTTCTTTTTCCTCACCATGTTTCTTGCTTTTCTGACACTACTGAGATCCAAGGGTAATTAAACAATATAGATTCTGTTGGGACAAACCCGGGGTCCAATAGAGCATGATCGCAGCAATAGTAGTGAAAATAGAGATAAAAAGATGGACACACAGATTTATGTGGTTCGACACAAAATTACCTACGTCCACGGGCAAAGATAGAAGAATCCGGAGAAAACTCTGGAGTTACAATCTCTCTATTTTTTCTCTCACTCTTCTATATAAGAAGTTGTTTCTGGGATGAGTTTTTCCTTAAGGATTTGGAGCCTATTTATAGGATTTGGAAAAATATTATGCATAATAAAATATTAATATTTTACTATGTTGTGTGGCCCGCCATTTTTTGTTCTTTTCCTCTTCAAACTTTGTTGCTGGGCTTTTGGTGATTTGAAGAAGATGGGGCCCACCTCCTTTAGCAATTGTCAAAAAGAGTGGGCTGATAAGGTGGGCGGCTGACAATCTTCAACTTGAATTTTTGATTGAGTATCAATCATATCTTCACATCATTCTTTCTATCTTGTCATCTTCATGTTGTTTACGTCTTCGTCAGACCACAAGAGGATCAACACCTAATAAATTTGTTGGTATGGACTGTTTTTGTCAAAAAATCAGCTAGGTTATCTTTGGTGTGAATTTTCTGCATATCCATTGTTTCTTCTTCCACTTTCTCACGAACGAAGTGGTACTGAACTCGAATGTGTTTGGTATTTGAATGAAAGGCTGGATTTCTTGCCAAATGTAAAGCACTCTGACTATCACAAAATAGAGATATTTATTTTTGTTCATGGCCGAGTTCCTCCAGCACCATCTTTAACCATATCTTTACTGGCTTGTGTTCTGTTGTTGAAGTAGCGACAACTGACTGCAGTTTTGAAATCCAGCTTACAGCTCCGTCAGCAAGTGTAAACACATAACATGTGGTGGATTTGCTATTATCACGATCACCTGCATAATCAGAATCAACATATCCACTGACAATAAAATAAGATCCCCCATAACATAATGCAATATTTGAGGTTCCCTTAATGTATCTTAGGATCCTCTTTACAATATTTCAATGCCCTTTATCAGGATTTGTCATGTATCGACTAACCACTCCCACTACTTGTGCAATATCTGGTCTTGTGCAAATCATAGCGAATATTAAGCTTCCCACTGCTGATGCATACGGTACTCGAGATATTTTCATCCTCTCTTCTTCATTGTTAGGACTCATACTGGAGGATAATTTGAAATTAACAGGAAGAGGGGTAGAATTTTCTTTAAATAATTCTTCTGAGAAAGCCAAATCTTTCTATTAACTCTGTCTCTGTAAATTTGCATCCTTAGAATCTTGTTTGCAGATCCTAAATCCTTCATTTCAAATTCCCTAGCCAACTGAGCCTTTAATTCTTTGATACGATCTTTGTTGGGACTTACAACCAACATGTCGTCAACATACAACAATAAGATAACAAAATCATTTTCACTAAACCTCTTGAAATATGCACAAGGGTATGAATTAAGTCTGTTGTAAGTCTGTTGTATCCAAAGCTCACGATGAATGAATCAAATCTCTTATACCAACACCTCGGCGCCTGCTTTAGACCGTACAGAGATTTGTTCAATCTGCAAACCAAGTTCTCTTTTCCTTTTTCTTCAAAACTTTCTGGTTGGAGCATGCAAATTTTTTCTTCAAGATCGCCATAAAGAAATGTTGTTTTCACATCTAGCTGCTCTAGATGTAAGTCAAATATAGCGTTCATAGCTAGGACTATTCGGACTGTTATTAGTCGAACTACAAGAGAAAATATTTTATTAAAATCAATACCTTCTTTCTGAGCACATCCTTTTACCACCAATCTAGCACGATATTGCTCCGCTTGATCATCGTCATTTCGCTTGATCTTGTAGACCCATTTGTTTCCAATGGTCTTTCTTCCTTGTGGTAGTGACACAATTTCCCAAGTCTTGTTTAACCTTTTAACTCAAGCTTGAAACATAGACCTCTCTTTTTCTATATGCTATTTATTTAAACGATGGTTTCCTCTCAATATGATTTAACGATCGATCTGACGTGTTTTTCCTCCTTTTCAGGTAGCTTGCAGGGATTTTCCTCATTCTCGGCATTTATGTGCCAACTTCTCCTTCAGTACCACTTCCCATGCAGAGCACTGTAATTTGGTAAGTTCGCATTTTGCTTCTTTGTATAGTATCAAACATGAGGAGTCATCAGTACGGGAAAAAATCGGACGGGAAGTGGTGTTTCCAGTGGCAGACGGGTGAGTAACGCGTAAGAACAACTAGATTTAATGCAATGAATCTGATAATGACTTACTAAAATGCAGTGTTATTGTTTTGTCTGCGATTCTCACGCACCTTGCATCTACTGGGGTGATGGTGTTTCACCAACTGACCATTGCCATGCTACTGACAAAGTTGAGGGATGGAAAGCCCAAAGGAAGTCATTCAAGAAGACGAATACTGCAACTTTGCCTCCAAAGCATCAACTTCAGCATATCCCAAACCTTCAAGCAACCATCATTGCACAAGCTCGACCTCAAGCACGTCCTGTTTCGATCCAACCCCTGAATGCAAGCTCACAAAGTATCCATCACAACCTAGCCAAAACCCTTCACTATCAAAATAGACTTCCCCAGCCTGTAAAGAGAGTGAATAGTTGTGGTTCAGCTTTGGCTCCCACTTCTCACACTCAATTCAAAAGGGCAAGCATGACCCAGAATCTGAAAACTGTTTCCCATACAAATCAGGTGTGTGAAGCTCTGCGTCAGAGACGTCAGCATCTGAAAACTGTTTCGATCCAACCCCTGAATGCAAGCTCGCAAAGTATCCATCACAACCTAACCAAAACCCTTCACCATCAAAATAGACTTCCCCAGCCTGTAAAGAGAGTGAATAGTTGTGGTTCAGCTTTGGCTCCTACTTCTCACACTCAATTCAAACGGGCAAGCATGACCCAGAATCTGAAAACTGTTTCCCATACAAATCAGGTGCGTGAAGCTCTACCTCAAATACGTCAGCATCTGAAAACTGTTTCGATCCAACCCCTGAATGCAAGCTCGCAAAGTATCCATCACAGCCTAGCCAAAACCCTTCACCATAAAAATAGACTCCAGCCTGTAAAGAGAGTGAATAGTTGTGGTTCAGCTTTGGCTCCTACTTCTCACACTCAATTCAAAAAGGCAAGCATGACCCAGAATCTGAAAACTGTTTCCCATACAAATCAGGTGTGTGAAGCTCTGCCTGAGAGACGTCAGCATCTGAAAACTGTTTCGATCCAACCCCTGCATGCAAGCTCGCAAAGTATCCATCACAACCTAGCCAAAACCCTTCACCATCAAAATAGACTTCCCCAGCCTGTAAAGAGAGTGAATAGTTGTAGTTCAGCTTTGGCTACTACTTCTCACACTGAATTCAAAAGGGCAAGCATGACCCAGAATCTGAAAACTGTTTCCCATACAAATCAGGTGTGTGAAGCTCTGCCTCAGAGACATCAGCATCTGAAAACTGTTTCGATCCAACCCCTGAATGCAAGCTCGCAAAGTATCCATCACAACCTAGCCAAAACCGTTCACTATCAAAATAGACTTCCCCAGACTGTAAAGAGAGTGAATAGTTGTGGTTCAGCTTTGGCTCCTACTTCTCAGACTCAATTCAAAAGGGCAAGCATGACCCAGAATCTGAAAACTGTTTCCCATACAAATCAGGTGTGTGAAGCTCTGCCTCCAGCACCACTTGCATCTCAGCAGCTGCCCGTTGTTTTGCCAAGAACTCAACACATGCAAGTGCAAACTGCTTCCAGTACAAGTCAGATGCATAGAATTATGCCCCAGAGACATCAGCATCGGCCTCAAGCACCAATTGTATCTCAGCAGCTGCCTGTTGTATCGCCAAGAACTCAACACATTCAAGTACAAATGTTTTCGAGTACGAATCAGGTGCAGGGAGCTCCGACTCAGATACCTCAGCAACTGCCTCGAGCACCACAGGCATCTCAGCTGCCCCCTGTTGCATTGGCAAGAACTCAGCACATGCGACTGCAAACTGTTTCCAGTACAAATCAGATGCATACAACTCTGCCACAGGCACCTCAACATCGGCATCGAGCATCACTTGCATCTCAGCAACAGCACGTTATGCTGCCAATAAGAACTCAAAGCATTCCAGTAACAGCAAATATATCTCAGTGCACGACTGCAGCCTCACAGAGAACTTCACAGGTTTCTCAGAACATACCTGTAGCCCCGCAGATAACTTCGCAAGCATCTCAGCACTCAACTGCAGCCTCGTCAGATGAAGATAACATCAGAAAATTCCATAATATATTTGCAGCATTGGCCACTGAGCTTGGAAGTGCCCTACAGGATCGACCAAAGCACGACAAACTCAAATCAAGCTATCACGATGCATAGTGATCTTCATATGGCAACGATTTCATCAAATCCTACAGTTTTTAGGGAATAATGCTGTAGTTTCTGAGGATATTCATCTAAACAGCTTTTTGCCTGTGTGTAGGAGAGAGACTGGACTGCAGGAAATGGATGCATCGTTTCTATATGATACTGATCATACTTGGAGTAGCATAGCAAATGTATAGTCTCATAGACCTTCAGTATATGATGCTGACTATACATTGGAGTAGCATACAGAATTTAGAGCCTCATAATGTACAGCCTCGTAGTCCTTCAGTATGTCCATCTTCTAACCCTTTTTCTAGTTTTAAACTTAGAATGTCATTTCGATCAGCTGATTTTGTTATAAAGAGTAGGTTTTAAATCATATATAGAGCTATTTGCTCTTTTGAAGTGGTTAGATATACCTTAATTTTGTTATACTATCTGCCATTATCTCTCTCTGGTGCAAAGCTATCCTGTTGAAGTTATATTTGCATCTCAAATATTATCTGTTTTCCCCCCTCTCTGCATCTAACAAATCAACCGGTGTTTGTATCACTGCAGAGTTTGTATATTTTCCCATGCTTGTCATATACACTTGTTTATTACTTCCCTGATGCATGGAAAATTTTAGTTCCTAAAATAAGTTGTGTAAAGATCAATTCGACATCCCTGCTGTTTGAAAATATTGAGATATTCACCAATAAGCTTAATCTGAGGTCCGGGTTAACGGCGTTGAATATCAAGTGAGATTTTGTTGATCAATCTTTTAGTTCACCTAGCAAATAAACAGTAGAGGGGCAAGCTGATGAGTTCATCGACTTCCTCCGAGCACTCGTCCATCGACTTCCTCCGAGCACTCGTCTTCGCATTCCGATTCGAAAGGCTCCCAAACAGTCGACTGTCAGCTGCCGCGATTCCGTCAGGCAATCCTTGAAGCTCCTATCCTTTTTCAGATCGCTCAGCCCTGCACTGTGAAAGCTCTCCTCCGCAAAAGCTTCCAGCTTCTTCACGTCGCCGTCCATGCCAGTAACCGCGCTGAGGGTGAACCTCTTCACGTCTTCACTCAGAAAAGCCGCAACAATGGAATCAGAAATGTGGTCAAGGGCGCCGACAGCGAGCTTGTACAGAGCCTCCAGGGGGAGAATCTGCTGAGCAGAAGACAGCAAGGTGTCGAGGTACACGACAACTTCATTCATGCACCCGTTCCCACTCTGCGGGGCTTCGTCAGCTGTCAAGTTTATGTTGCTTACGAGCGGCATGAAGTCGTCCAGCTTAGCATTTACTCGGTCTGCCAGCGCGTTGTACGCCGCACTCTGAGAGGCCCTCAACACGGCTCTGGCTGCTAAGCCAGCGCGAGGCCTTTCGACCAGGCGGACAGGAACGCCGCAGCGCTTGGCCACTTGCCAGAGAGAAAGGTCGCAAGCGTGCTCGAAAACAGCGGTGTTGGCTGCAATCTGCATCGCTTGCGAAACGCTTAGATTGCCGCCGTGAATCATGCTCAAAAGAGACTGATTCAGCACCTCGATCAGGAGCCTGTCCAAATACTTCTTCGCCACATCGTAGAAATTTATGTGGCCTCCGTACGACAAATAGCTGACCGAGTCGTCAATGAAGGAGCGGATCATACGACACGCGTCAGGAACTGAGGAAGAGAAAGGAGCGACGTACGGGAACACCGGGACCACATCTGACCAGCTGCTCGAACGAGTCGTTGGAGAGGATGTCGCTCATCTGCTTTCGACATTCATCGAGGAGCAGTTCTTGGTATTTGTCCCTGATGCTGTCAAGAACCTCGAGCAGAGGAGTCACTCGGTACCCGCATCGCCTGAGAGTAGCGCCGAGAAGGGTGACAAAGTCCTTGACCAGGAGCAGATGCGCTGCGGTACCCATACAAGAGAACTGGGTCTCGAGGATCGATCTCATCTTGGCCACCGCTGCATCCCACATCGTCTCCACCCGACTC